GTGAGGCGATAGTGCTAACCGCTGCACCACTGTGCCGCAGTCAGCAAGTAACAAGTCTGAACTGAATGCTTTAAGGTAATAAAAGACTGCAGCAGCAGCACAAGGTGAAACATGCAGAGTGAAAACGAAAGACAGCTTCCTAACATGACGAAATGAATGTATTCGCTCAAGTCTGTATTCTCAGATATTTACTGAGAAACATGACCAGTCTCTACGTCTTCAGACCGTGGTTGTCATCGTCCTCTCGGGCCTTTTGCTGTCACTGAGCTGAGTGGTTTCCTACGTTTTAAGAATGAACCAGATTGTTGTTTTTCAATGTTTCTCTGACAGGTTTACTGTGTTCAGCCTAAGTCCAGTGAACAGCTACCAAATCAAATCCAGACCTTTTATCTGCTTAATCGGCCTCACCTGGCCATGAACTACTTGTCAGAAAACTTTCCAATCACCACTGAAAATGGAGGACTGTATATAAATATGGTGTCTGGCATATTTGTTAAACCTTTGTTAAATCTTTATTCTTTGCGACACAAACTGAAATAAATCTTGCAAATTAAGATTGGGGAATCAGTTCTCTGGACTTACTAAGTTGTTCTAAATTCAGTCTATATTATTTAAATGTAAACTGTGTTTATTTTAAATACTCAGAGCACACCCAGCCTGTTCGGTTAATGGATGCTAGACTGAGTTAGCTTTACATATGCTTCTCATGTAATGCTCGTCAATGTGTAACCAGGATACTGTATGGAATTCTGGTTTCAAAGTGGGAAACAATGCCAGCTTTGTGTCTTTGAATTTAACTGCCAGAATCTTTGATCGCAAGATGTTTTCTTCTTGTTATCAGTGCTTCTGTGACATCACAGCAACTGGGTTTGCTGGTGCGGGTGGAGGCTTTGTTTACAGAGTAGTAAACCTGTGCAACTGCCTGCTATATTAAACATGACACATGCTGTGTTATACTGTGGGTGTAAACAGTTTCTTCTCTTTCTTCACAGTACATTCACTCTGCAGGGATCATTCATCGGGTGGGTATATGAACATTACTGAATTTTACCAGACTTACCGCATTCTCACTCAGAATCATGTTTGCCTCTAAAGTGCTGTTAGAAAAATAGTTTGGCATTTTGGGAAATCTACTTTTTTACCTTCATGCTGAACCAGTATGACGTTTGAGCTAGCTAACAGTTTAGTTAGCTTAGCATACAGATTGGAAATATTCAGCAGAAACTACCTTACCTGGGTCAGTGTCATTGTTTTTTTGTTTTTGTTTTGTTTCTTTTTTTTTAGCAAAGAGGACAGAGACCTGCAGCCAGCATAATGAAACTTAGGACTCATTGCTCATAGTGTTAGCACCCATGTAGTATGTGGTCTAACAACTCAGCCTTTCTACTTGTTTTTAATTCAATTCAATTCAATTTTATTTTATTTATATAGCGCCAAATCACAACAAAAGTCGCCTCAAGGCGCTTCATAGATACAGAGAAAAACCCAACAATCATATGACCCCC